ATTTGTTTTACAGTTATTATAAAAATAGATTCCTTTTATATTCTTCTTAACCCCTTGCTTGTCATTTAGCCCTGTTATGCATGCACTTACTTTTGTCTGTTCAAAAAAGAATCACAAATGAATAATAGGAATAGTAGCGTGATAGAATTACTGTTGAGCCATCTTCAGCTGTATTTTCATCTGCATCAGTCTGGGGTCATATTTCGGATATGGAAATGAGGATATTTGTGTCAGTAGTGTTTGATCTTCTCCTGGAAGTGGACAAGGGTACAATGTCCATTCTCTTAGATCTATCAACAGCGTTTAATATACTGGATCTTGATGAAATCTTGTGGGAATGGATTCTTCATTGGATTCAGTTCTTCATCCTAAACAAGTGCTTAATTTTAAATTGAGCTGGTTGGGAATTTTCTGTCTGAAACATTTTCCAGGATAAAATCCAGTTTCTGCTCAATCACTTTTTTTCTGATGGAAAATCTAAAAATTTGTTTTTCTATCAGGTAAATGTGTATGCAATATTTAATTTCACATCAGTTCAACCCAAATTAGAATACAGTATTTTGTTTTGTTGAACTGTCCAAAACATTTTGTTTTAAATCAGGTCAGTAAAACATTAAATTGCATTTCCCTATCAGTGCATTGCTTTATAGGAGTTGTGGTTCAGGTCTCCATGTGGGGTCCGTTCTGCTGAGTTCTCTGGGGGACTACATTTCCCACAATGCAATATGCTATGTGGTGAGTAGTCTGGTCCATGGTGTCTGGCCTATGGGGAAGAATTGAGGCATCAGGCTACTGATCTACAACTCCCACGAGGCAATATGCTAAAGTGGAAGAACATGGCTTGATGTTAAAATAACTTGAAACTGTGTGTATTGGGTCATTTCAACAAAATAAAATGAAACATTTTGATTTTGGGAATGTCAAAACATTTTGTTTCAATTGAAAATGTTGAAATAATGGGATGGAAATTCTGAAGTTTTCTCAGCTCTAATTTTAAACATGTGTTTAATATAACAGTAGTGTGTGTATGTGTGTATGTATACAAAATATTGGGTTAGTGCACAATATTGTTCCCTCCCATTTTGAAGTATATGGGATTTGACAGCTAACATTTTGAGTAGTTTAACAGCTAGACGTCAAAGTCAGTTATATGCATTACAAGTGAACAAACTAAAGCAAATGTTGTTGTAGCCATTTTGGTACTGGGATATTAGAGAGAGAAGGTGGTGAGATAATATCCTTTATTGGATCAACTTCTAAGCTTTAACATTTACAAAGCTCTTTTCAGGTGACCTGAAGAAGAGGGACCTGAAGAACAGCTCTGTATAAGTTCGAAAACTTGTCTGTCTCACCAACAAAAATATGTCAAATAAAAGATATTACCTTACCCACATTGTTTCTCTAAAGCAAATGTTCACATTTTGGAAGGGTTGGTGCTCATCTGCAAAGCTAATTGAAAGACCCATAAGAGGCTCCGGCTATTTATTCTGCCAATGCATTGTGGGTACATTTAGGCTTCCTCTGCTAATCAGTTCAGATACTGATGTTGGCATCACCATAAGAGGAAACATTTCACAGAACCTGACAGCTGGATCCAGGCTATAACAAATGTAGTGAAACAATAGAGAAGACAAATCTAAGGATTGTAATATTCAGTTGTCTAAAAAGGGACATTCACTTCTCCAGAGAGAAAATTATTGTAAACATTCAACTTCATGTGTATGAAACTTGCGGTTCATTCACCTTGTAGTCAGAGGGGAAGTTAGTTAAGGGCCATCTCCTGCAACGCTCTCATGTGCAGAATTTTCAACATTATGGAAGTTTTGAATGAAGGTCAGTGTCAGGATCTGGCCTATTAATATGGAAGAACAAAAGATGAACCAAACTACTTGATTTTAGTAGGACACTTGGTGCATTTACAAGCACCTGTTTTCAGGGATGTCGTGGGACAATGCATTCTATGGAGGTCTTTGGTGAACTAAAAAATACCGGATGATTTTACAAAGTAGAAAAATACCTTCTGAAAAATGCTCCTTTGCTGATGCTGAATTCTCCCAGCTACCTGCTTAGTATAAGCATTCAGGATGTCTGGGCTCAGCTCAGTTTTCACTTTAGCCTTACAGTTCACCCTTAATATATTTATACTTTTCTCACACTTTTTCTCTCTCTCTCTCATTTGTAACTCTGTCCAGTGTCCTACTTGAAATAATAAGTTCATAGGGTAGGATTTTGGACCCTGCTACAGCCCCTGTATGGCTCCTGTAGAAGTATACATGTGCTATGAAAGCCCCAAAGCCTAGTGGGATAGAACTGCCCTCCTCAGGTACTGCATAGGGCACTGAAACTAGAACTACGCAGACCTTCTCCCACCCCCCGTCCTTGCAAGCCTGGTTTAGAGGGTGTGCCATGGGCGGGAAGGGAACAGAAGAGGAGTACTAATAGCGTTTGCTACTCCAGGGATTCTTGGGTGTCCTGGGCTGCAGACCAGCCCATAGGCAGCTTGAGTGGTGGAATGAAGAGAGGATTCATAAAGTAGAACAATTTCTGGCAGCTCTACCCAACTCCAGGAGCTACACCTGATTATTATAGGCTATACCAGCTCCTGGAGAAGCCCATAATAATCAGGTAAAAACGTGACTTAAATCTATCTTTGTCCTACTTGCCCCTGTAGAGATGCAACACTGAATCCTAGCCATATGATTTAGGTCTATCTTTTGTTCTCCCACATTATTAGGTCATATCCTGCCACTGATCAACACCAAAGCTGCTGTGTAGATAAACAGCAATTCTGTGCATGAAACCATGACAAGCTATGCCCCTAATTAAATTCCCCTATGATCAAACATGGCTGAAGAGTATATTTTTGTCTTCTCTTTTATGCATACTTTCCACTCTAATATTATTTGCAAGAAAAGTGCCATTAATATCTGTAGGAAACTCAGGAGGGGAATGGTAGTCTAGCACCTTTCATCCAGAAGGATCCACAAACACCGTACATATAAGAATCCACATGGAATATGGCTCTTGTTCAAAGTCATTAAAAAGTGTTACCATGCAGAATCAATACATATGTACCTGCTGTTAGGAACATAGAAATTGTCATACCCGATCTGACCAGTGGTCCATATAGTTCAGTGCCTGATACTTCAAAGGAATGTGGAAGAAATCTCATAATGGTCCATTATAGAATAATCTTTCCCCAAGGGAAGTTTTTCATATTCCCCCATCAGTTAGTAGTTGTCTTCTACGCTGAAGCAGAAGTGCATTCATATAAAATATGTGTTCATTCCTAACATAGCCATCATAAATGTCCATGCTAAGATCTTGGCCTCAGTTGAGACCCCCTTCTTTTTCTGCTATATCCTTTGTTAAATTCCTGGGAAGGGTATGCCTTTGATTTGTGTAATGGCATTATAATATTTTCAGTATTATTTTCTATACCATTCTAAATACCTCAAAACATTTGTTTGCTTTTTTGACTGCTGCTATACACTGAGCAGAGTGTTACACTGAACAATCTACAGTGACGTGTAGATCTTTTTCTTGACTGGTTACAGTTAATTCAAAACTGAGTATCCTATATTAGAACAAGTATGATGAATATGAATTATTGTAACTATGATTAAAGAGTTGGTATTATGACAAGTCTAGTCAGGATGCTGTTTTACTTGAGTTTTGCTGTAGATTTTTTGTTCTTATTGTGAATCAAACTATAAAGCAAATGGGTTAACTTTTCTCTGTAGAATAAATGTTTTCAAAAGTTATATAGGCACTTAGGAACATAAGTCTCCGTGAAAGCCTACATAACATTGTGAGTGAAGCCAAGCTCATATAGAGTTGAAGCAGATAGATTGCCTTAGGAAAAGGGAATTAAAGGCCACATTTATGCTCCATTTCATAGTGTGGGCTATATCTTGATACAGCCACCACAACTCCCTTCAGACTCCTACAGATTATGTTACATCTCTGTGGCAACTATATCAATTGCTTACATGGAAAAGTATTTAATATATTTGTAGCTGTCTTTTAAAGTAATTGATCAGCTGCCACTGAGGAGGAGCCAGCACTGTCTGACCAGCCGTTTTCACATTGTGAGCATCTCTGATGCTGATAATTCCTTTTTTCAAACAATGCCAAACAAACCAAGGTGGAACTAAAAACAAAACAAAAAAAGTGATGCAAACTGTGATTCATTTTCATTTATTTGTATTATCATACAGTGAAGACAGGTAGGTAAAAATTTATATTTAACATTTGACCCCAGTATTTCTTTAAAACGTTATTGCTTTTTCCCTCCCTAAAAAGCAGTGTGCTATACTGTATTTGACTGGCCATATCCAGAAGATCTTACTCACCCAACTCTTATTTAGACAATTAAAGTCAGAGGAAGCTTTGTGTGAGTGAGGGCTTGCAAGAGGCAGGGCCGGCTCTGGCTTTCTGGCCGCCCCAAGCAAAAAAAAAAAAAAAAACCCGCGGCGCGGCTGGAGCCAGGGTGCAGGCGGAGGGGGAGGGAGCGGGGGGGAGAGAGAGAGAAGGGGGGCGGCCAGGACTTCAGCGAGGCGCTACCACGTGGCCCCTCCCACTGTGCCCCCTGCCGGGAAGCTCCACACCACTCCGGTTGGCTGGGAGGGAAGGACGCGGGCTGCCCTGCCGAGCTTGCTGCAGGGCGCTCCTGTCCTCCATGCCGCCGCCCCCTACAGGGCGGCCGGAGCGGAACAGCAACAACAACAACCAAAAAAACCGGCCGTGCCGCCCTAGGATTGGGCGGAATGCCGCCTCCTACAAGCTGCCGCCCCAAGCACCAGCTTGCTCGGCTGGTGCCTGGAACCGGCCCTGGCAAGAGGTGGCCTAACACGTCCTCAAAATAATCCGCAGTCCTCAGCAGAAATAAATGCTTCCTAAGTGTGTTCATTGTTCAGTTCAGGGAATAGCATATTCATATAGGGATTCATAACTGCTTGTGAACACAGGTACTTAAAATCTTATTGCTCTTTTTACAGCTTTTGCCAACAAGACAAGTTGCCAATTACCTTCCAGTCCTGTGTGATCACTAAGGAGTGCCAGGTGTCAGAGTGGTCTGAGTGGAGCCCCTGTTCCAAAACATGTTTTGATATGACATCCCCTAAAGGAAATCGTACAAGAACACGGACCATTAAGCAGTTTCCTATTGGCAGTGAAAGTGAATGCCCAGAGCTAGAAGAAATAGAGCAATGTAGCTCTCAAGGAGATGGTGTGGCACCGTGTGTTACGTAAGTGTTAATATGTACCCCACCCCATCAAAATGAATACTGTACATCCCGTGGGAGAGTGCAGCACGTTGATAATGATTTGATTGACAATACAAGTACATTTAAAAGAAAATACTAGGATTTGGTTTATGTGTGTACATATTCAGTGATCCCACTAAAAGCTAACATTTGCATATAGTTGCAGTTGTACTGAAGTTACTTCCTACTCTAAATATAGAGAAATAACTTACACGACTTTGTAAATGCTGACTTTTAAAATGTGAACATGTGTGTACACACTGATACACTTTTGTGCACTACTTTGAACCAGCTTTAAGGGCATAGTAAAACAAATTTATTGATTCAGTGGTGATTTTTCCTACAGATCATTTCTTCTAGAATCCATCATTGTTTGTTTGAAGTACAGGGCACAATCCCATACCAAGTGTCTTACACAGTAAGAAGCTGGTATGTATTCCTTGAGCAGCCAAACCCTTATCTGACTTCATTGGGAGTTTAGGCTGATTAAGGAAGGCAAAACTGAGCCCTAAATCAGGAGGGGAAGAGGCTAAAAGTGGTAGTAAATAAATTAGTCCTGTTTAGAGTGTAGGAAGTTTGAGAGCAAGCAAGCACTTTAGATTCAGGAGATTGCTTTCATCATTAGCATCTAATTGAGATGAATATTAACAGTCACAACTGTGCTTTTTCTTTATCTGCCTGGAAAGAACTATTGGGGAAATAGCATTTGATGTTATGCCATTTTGCATCTGTGCGTTTTGACTCTGGAACATCATTTTCCTTGAAGAGGAGAAATATCATCATTCTCCATCTTCAGCAGCATCGGGAAATGATTCCCTTGATATTGCCTTAAAGTACTTGTTGGGCAGAGAAGCCTGTGACATGTCTTTCAATTCATAAGTCTGACTGGGGTTTTAAGTTGGAGTCATAGACCTTCTTTCTTACGCACTCACTGATGAGAAAGCTCACAGCTTCTCTTCATTCGTAAGTACTCAGCAGGGGGGCTTGAGCACTGCAGAGAAGCCATCTTACTCTCGACGGTGAAAAAAGAACTCACTGAAATAATTTTTTTGAAAAAAGAAGTACAATTATAGTTTTGCCTTGATATGCAGGAGGAGCATTCATGCTTCTTATCAAAGGTAAATTGGAGGCTTTATCTTTTTTTTATTTTTCGGGTCTTATGTTTCTCAGTGTGCACATTTCTTTGATTTTTGTTGTGTATTGCTTTATTCTAGCTGTCTAGTTCTAAACAAGTGCTAAGATTCACAAACCTGGGGATTGGCAGATTTGAGCATAAAACTCAATTTCTTTCCATGCAACATTATTATTCTTCCTTGCAGTAAAATAATAAATTCCACTGATTAAACTTAAACAAAGATCTTCCTAAATGTAACCTTTTCAAAAATGAAATAATGAGGAAAATAGTTTAATCAGTGTAGAATACCAAACCTCATGCATATCTGTAAAATAAAGATTTTTGGGGAGCCAATCCTTCTAGATAATGAGTCAGCAATATTAGGGCACTTTGCCTTGTATAATCAGATATTACCTTGTGTGGCTTTACATGTTTTAAAGAACTAATTAACTCAATTTGCAATTACTTTGATTCAGGTATGGCTGGAGAACCACAGAGTGGACAGAATGTCGTGTTGACCCTTTACTTAGCCAACAGGACAAAAGACGAGGGAATCAGACAGCTCTGTGTGGAGGTGGAATTCAAACCCGTGAGGTGTACTGTGTGCAAGCTAATGAAAATCTCCTCTCCTATTTAAATACCCTCAAGGAAAAAGAAGGTAAATTTCATTCACTTGCAATTGAATTAGTGTGAAAACTGAACACTTCAGCATGCCGGAGCTTTTTGACCTCCATTGTCTTCTGTCACAAGTGTCTTATTTTATTATACGTTACTATTTTTTAAAATCTAATTTAAATGGAAATATTTAATTCCAGGAGGGATGGGTTCATTCTTTATTCTGCAAATGTCCATATCTTACTCTGAACTGTTTTTTCATCAGACTTCCTGAAGGCTTCCTTAACTGTAGGATGGTCTTGTGGTAAGAAAGATACAAGACTGGGAATCATGAACTCTGGGTTCTAGTCCCAGTTCTGCCAGAGATTTTCTGTGTGACCTTGTGCAAGTCATTTTAACCTCTCTGTGCTTGTATAGGTTGCACCTCGAAAAAGAAAAAAGTAAATGCATGTGTAAAGTCACCATGGAAATATATATGTGAAATGACTTTACAGGTTCAAAAAGAGCACTAAACTTGGCTTTTCCTTGAAAGCAGGCAAAATGTGATGGTTTTGGCTGACTTTCATGTAGAGTTCTTGTTTTTGTGTAAAACTGTAACTCAGCTTGCTACTTGTGTGGATTTGTACTCCTAAAATTGAAACAGGAAAAAAGTTTATATGAAGAGACTCTCTGCAAACTAAAAACACCAAGTTTCTCATAATTGTAGCCTCTACAGTTCCTTAAGAAAAGAGAGAGGAAAGCTTATCCCCTGGTCCCCTTTCACTTGCATATGTGTAAGTGAACTCCATTAACTTCATTGAAATGACTCCCGATTTACACCAGTGTAAGTGAGTGAAGAATCAGGCCCCTAACCTTTTCCAAAGAAAGAAGTTATTTTCCTAGTGTCATGAGGATACTTACCTTGATAAAGGTGTCCTGGATACAAAAATATTCTGGAGATGAAAGCGGGAGGATGATCTTGTGGTTAAGACATTTGGAATGGGACATGGGAGATTTGGGTTCAATTCCTGGTTTTGCCACAGACTTCATATGTGACCTTGGAAAAAGTTTCCATCTGCAGAATGTGTAGAATAAAAATTCCATGCTTAATAGGTAGAGTGTTAATGAGTTGGATAGTTGATGTGGTGATTGGCGTCTTATAAGCACCTAGCTCTATATAGTTAACATAAAATACTTTTCTGATGAGTTCAACTATATTATTATATGCATTTTTGAAGAACAAAACCTCAGTGAGTAATTTACATTAACATACATTATTCCCCAGCAGCAAAAAGTAACTTGAAAGGAACGGCTTATCCATTGGTAATTTAGAAATCCTTCAAGACAGTAAATTATACTAAGTGCATTTAGCCCACAATTCTGATGACATTTATTTTTATACATTATGCAGCTGTATGGTACAAATTTACATTGGCACAAAGAAATACAACCACACACTCCAGGAAAAAGGACATCCTTGACTTGGGCATGCATAGCTAAACATTTAGAAGAGAGGTGGCCACATTGTAGCCTACAGAGTTCTCAAGCGTGGGGCATCTTTAATCTGGGCACTGCAGTTTGTGGAGACTACCAGTCTCAGCATCCATTTTAATACATCTGCTTGGATTAAGATGGAGTATTGTTTGCTGAGACTTCTATGCACCATCGGTTGCACCTGCGTATTTATGAGGGAGGGAGTCTTCAGTCTGCTTCATTTAATACAAATTAGAGGCAAATTTCCTCTAGGACCAAGCTTAGATGCCCCTGCCTTAGAAGTAAAGGGTGACAAACTCTCAGCTAAAGAGAGGCAACAATAAAATCAGCAACAGCTTACTGTTCAGAATGATGATCAGGATTTGGGTAGACTGTGAAGTCTAGGCTGGTGTGAAATCTGTCCTTATCATAATGTGACAGGAATATGCAGAGCCCATCAGGAGGTAATCTCTGTAGGCCCCATAAGGCTGTTTAAAATGTAACTAGTCTTTGGATGCATAAACATGAGAACACTTTTTTCAAGAGCTCAAACTAGGGGTGAAGTGAGATTTAGTTTAAAAAGCTCTGGGGACATTTCCATTTTTGGAGACAGATTAAAAAAAGTGTTGTGGTTTTTTTAAAGCAGCTTCTGGACACCCCTAGAAACAGCAATTTGGCGTGATTAAACGGTGTGATTAAAACCAGACAATGATTCAAGAACTAGAGGGGAAAAATCCCACCAACCCTAGCAGTGGGAAACCCCTTCTTATAATGTAGCTCTGTGTTCATAAACAGTTCAGTAAGGCTGTTTTGGAAACTTCCATTCTCACGTATTCATAGTGGTGTTTCCCTATTATTTCAGAAAGTCAGTCACAGAGCACGTCGAAGTCTAGTGCTGCACCACTTCTATCAATCACTTTTGAAATAACAGGTAGGTAATTAAGGCCTTCTACCTGACATTTCAATCAAAAGTGTGCCAGGAGGCACTGTCCCCTTTGGGAGAACTATGTTGTCTATATATAAAAAAGTATATTTCTCTCTCAAATAGTTTGTTACTGTATCTGTGAGCTCTCACTCATAAGGTTCAAGATAATAAAAGAAATAAGAGGACAAAATACTTACACATCAGGTACCAGACTTGAAATACAAACTAGTAGCACAGATTCAAACCAAACCTTTATCCATTTTTTGAAATGTTCTGATAAATATCTTTCACTTCTATTTCCCATCCTGGCCTAAAGTGCTGGGAATTTCTTTGGTCTTCCAAAATTTCCACTTTCCTTTGCTATTTCCAGCTAGGGTTGTCAATTTTGGTTGGACGTATTCCTGGAGCTTTCGTCACATGACATAACCTTCTATTAAAGATTCATCTTTAATTCCTGGAGACTCCAGAACAATCTTGGAGGGTTGGCAGCCCTATTTCCAGATCTGTTTTGCTTATTCAGGATATTTGTATAATTAAGAATTTGAACTTTGGATGTTTATCTAAACTGAAACTTCCAGCCTTTTGGGGTTGGTACATCCCTATAAGCCAAGTTCAGAAATTTACTATCTTCATTTCAGAAATTACAAGTTTACATTTGAGCAGGAATATTGTGTGTAGCGGTTAGGCCAGGGAACGGGAAATTAAGGATTACTAGGTTCTGTTGTTCTGTCACTCACTTGCTGTGTATTTTAGGCAAATCATTCAACTTCTCCTTGCCTCTCTTTACCCAGCTGCAAAATTGATATAACTGTGTACCTAACCATAGAACTGAAAGGGACTACTTACATGCATAGACATGCATAGGTGTGTATGGATTTGTCTTCACTACAAGGGTAAGTCGACCTAAGTTAAGCTACTCCAGCTATGTGAATAATGTAGCTGGAGTCAATGTAGCTTAGTTCGACTTACCCCGGTGTCTTCATTGCACTGCATCGATGGGAGACGCTCTCCAGTCGACTTACCTTAGTTCTCTTGGGGAGCTGGAGTACTGAAGTCGACCGAGAGAGCTCTGGCATCAGTTTAGTGGATCTTCACTAGACCCACTAAATCGACACCTGCTGCATCGATTGCAGCAGTGTCGATCTCCCTAGCAGTGAGGACAAGCCCTAAGTGTTTGCAGGATCAGAGTCTGAAGTAGTAGTTTTACAGTTTGGCAATAAACTTTAGCACATACATTACAGAAAACTGGGAAGGAAACTCGTGATGTTATCTTTCATCCATTTTGTTAGTGTGGCTTTTTAAAAATGCTCATTTGTTCTGCTTTTGTGAAAGTAGAGCAATTAGTGTCCTGAAAAAAATGGTGAGCTCTTGCTGGGGCATGGATGTACAGATGCTCTTCCTGTGACACTGTGGCCCTGTTGGCAGAAGCAGCCCAGAGAATGCAATGAATTACCTCATCCCCCGCACCACTCTGGCTGTGACCGCATGATGGCCACTTTGAGGCCACACTGGGCAGCTGGGATTCTCTGCCAGAGGAGGAGCTGGTGCACATCCTTGGTGAATTTAGCCCACTGTTTACCAAGAGAGGTGAGTCTGTGCTTTTGTGGTGGTGATTTTTAAAATGTAGCTACTCTACAGTCCTCATGCTCGTAGGCGTCTACCTTACTGTATGAAATTTTTCAGTGACTGGTCTAGACAGTATAGAGCTCAGGAGAAGGTTCCTGGGGTTGTAGCTAATTATTTTCCAGGCACTTGCTAGTAGGTAGTATTCTTTGGGACTAGACACACAGAGTTAGCAGCCCATAAGTGGGCACAAAAAAGCACTTTGAGTTTGTTTGATTTTTATCCCACTTTAGGAGAAAGGGAAAGTTCTAGATTTTTAGAACACACTAAGAGAGAGGTTCCTAGTTCAGCAGAGAATGATGGTGTTTTTGTGTGTGTGTGTGTTTTTGTTTGGGTTTTTTGTTTAATCTCCCAGCCCGAACTTGAAAGCCATTCCACACTTGAACCTAATTTTCTGGTTTGGCAGGGGGAAAGTGAGAGCTTGTTAGCAAAACACATTCTGTTTTGTTCTTATGTGTGTCCAAAATTTGAGCAAAATATCTGAAAACCACGCAGAGCTTGTGTTATTAAGCATTATTAACTTAATGTTCATCCCCACTGACAGGGAATGAAAGAACCAAGCCTCCTCATTCACAACCTCTACCACAAATGCATGAAAAGAAAATATGAAATGGGCAGCAATGAGAGGGGAAACATCTTTTGACTGTGAACGTCTGTATCCAGTAGCTTCTTCTTTCAAATCATCTCGAGTCAAACAATAAGGGGTCAGATGCTGAGCTCATTTACACTGGTGTAAATCTGGAGGAAAGCCACTGAAGTTAAAGGGGTTGGGATGCTAATAGGAGGTCCAGGCTTGCCACAACTCAGCAATTTACTGTAAAGAAAATAAATAATCTTTATCATACTCTAGCACCTCTGGCTGAAATTCATCCTAGATATGTAGCTAGCAAAGTGGTTTGGGAGCTCTCTGGATGAAAAGTGATGTATAACAGAGATCACATCATGCATGAGAAGGTAATAGTAACAATAAATCCTTTCCTGTGTTTTTGTTTTTTGTTTTTTTGTTTTTACTTTTTAAGACTTGCTACTATCAGATGGTTTTTCAACTCTCTCTCTCTGCTGAGACTTTGGCAGCACTGAAATAGGCTTTCAGATAGGCACAGGGACTTGGTGGAATTACTGGGGAAATGATGGCTGAAGAGAAATGCCCCTTTGTCACGCACAGAGATGAATTGTGCCATTCGCCGTGTATTCTACTCACAACATTTATTTGAGATGTATCAGAGAAGCTGGTCAAGCCCAGACAAGTTTCTTGCAGTCAGTAACTATTACTGTTGATGAGTTTTTAGCTAAAACAGTGTTTTAGGGATGGACATTGGGAATCAGAGCTATGCAAAGAACAGCTTTTTTCAATTTGCTGACAGTTTTGAAAAATAAATAGATAAATGTTTTGGAATTTTTGGTGACCCAAAACAAGGGGGGGATTTAATTTAATGTAAAAAACAATTGACCAAAATTTATGCAAATTTGCAAAATGTTTCGGTCGACCCGAAACGGTGAGGAGGGCTTTAAACTAGGTTTGACGGGGACAGGTGAGCAAAGCCCACAGGTAAGTGGGGAACATGGAGACCTGGGAGATGGGTCGGAAACAAGAGGGAGCGTGGGCTATAATGGCAGAGAGAAAGGAGGGTCAGGGCAAAACTGGGAGGCAAGATCGAACCAGTATCTTAGATGCCTATATACAAATGCGAGAAGTATGGGTAATAAGCAGGAAGAACTGGAAGTGCTAATAAATAAATACAACTATGACATTGTTGGCATCACTGAAACTTGGTGGGATAATACACATGATTGGAATGTTGGTGTGGATGGATACAGCTTGCTCAGGAAGGATAGACAGGGGAAAAAGGGAGGAGGTGTTGCCTTATATATTAAAAATGTACACACTTGGACTGAGGTAGAGATGGACATAGGAGATGGAAGTGTTGAGAGTCTCTGGGTTAGGCTAAAAGGGGTAAAAAACAAGGGTGATTCATATAGATTCTAGGACTGGAAGGGACCTCAAGAGGTCATCGAGTCCAGTCCCCTGCCCGCATGGCAGGACCAAATACTGTCTAGACCATCCCTGATAGACATTTATCTAACCTACTCTTAAATATCTCCAGAGATGGAGATTCCACAACCTCCCTAGGCAAAAATGATGTCATGCTAGGAGTCTACTACAGGCCACCTAACCAGGTGGAAGAGGTGGATGAGGCTTTTTTTAAACAACTAACAAAATCATCCAAAGCCCAAGATTTGGTAGTGATGGGGGACTTCAACTATCCAAATATATGTTGGGAAAATAACACAGCGGGGCACAGACTATCCAACAAATTCTTGGACTGCATTGCAGACAACTTTTTATTTCAGAAGGTTGAAAAAACTACTAGGTGAGAAGCTGTTCTAGACTTGATTTTAACAAATAGGGAGGAACTCATTGAGAATTTGAAAGTAGAAGGCAGCTTGGGTGAAAGTGATCATGAAATCATAGAGTTTGAAATTCTAAGGAAGGGTAGAAGTGAGTACAGCAAAATAGAGACAATGGATTTCAGGAAGGCGGATTTTGGTAAGCTCAGAGAGCTGATAAGTAAGGTCCCATGGGAATCAAGACTGAGGGGAAAAACAACTGAGGAGAGTTGGCAGTTTTTCAAAGGGACACTATTAAGGACCCAAAAGCAAGCTATTCCGCTGGTTAGGAAAGATAGAAAATGTGGCAAAAGACCACCTTGGCTTAACCACGAGATCTTGCATGATCTAAAAAATAAAAAGGAGTCATATAAAAAATGAAACTAGGACAGATTACAAAGGATGAATATAGGCAAACAACACAGGAATGCAGGGGCAAGATTAGAAAGGCAAAGGCACAAAATGAGCTCAAACTAGCTACGGGAATAAAGGGAAACAAGAAGACTTTTTATCAATACATTAGAAGCAAGAGGAAGACCAAAGAAAGGGTAGGCCCACTGCTCAGTGAAGAGGGAAACAGTAACAGGAAACTTGGAAATGGCAGAGATGCTTAATGACTTCTTTGTTTCGGCCTTCACCGAGAAGTCTGAAGGAATGCCTAATCTAGTGAATGCTAATGGGAAGGGGGTAGGTTTAGCAGATACAATAAAAAAAGAACAAGTTAAAAATCACTTAGAAAAGTTAGATGCCTGCAAGTCACCAGGGCCTGATGAAATGCATCCTAGATTACTCAAGGAGCTAATAGAGGAGGTATCTGAGCCTCTAGCTATTATCTTTGGAAAATCATGGGAGACGGGAGAGATTCCAGAAGACTGGAAAAGGGCAAATATAGTGCCCATCTATAAAAAGGGAAATAAAAACAACCCAGGAAACTACAGACCAGTTAGTTTAACTTCTGTGCCAGGGAAAATAATGGAGCAAGTAATTAAGGAAATCATCTGCAAACACTTGGAAGGTGGTAAGGTGATAGGGAATAGCCAGCATGGATTTGTAAAGAACAAATCATGTCAAACCAATCTGATAGCTTTCTTTGATAGGATAACGAGCCTTGTGGATAGGGGAGAAGCTGTGCATGTAGTATACCTGGACATTAGTAAGGCATTTGATATGGTCTCGCATGATATTCTTATCGATAAACTAGGCAAATACAATTTAGATGGGGCTACTATAAGGTGGGTGCATAACTGGTAGGATAACCGTACTCAGAGAGTTGTTATTAATGGTTCCCAATCCTGCTGGAAAGGCATAACAAGTGGGGTTCCGCAGGGGTCTGTTTTGGGACCGGCTCTGTTCAATATCTTCATTAACGACTTAGATATTGGCATAGAAAGTACGCTTCTTAAGTTTGCAGATGATAGCAAACTGGGAGGGATTGCAACTGCTTTGGAGGACAGGGTCATAATTCAAAATTGGAGAGATGGTCTGAGGTAAACAGGATGAAGTTTAACAGAGACAAATGCAAAGTGCTCCACTTAGGAAGGAACATCAGTTTCACACATACAGAATGGGAAGAGACTGTCTAGGAAGGAGTATGGCAGAAAGGGATCTTGGGGTTATAGTGGACCACAAGCTAAATATGAGTCAACAGTGTGATGCTGTTGCAAAAAAAGCAAACATGATTCTGGGATACATTAACAGGTGTGTTGTGAGCAAGACACGAGAAGTCATTCTTCCGCTCTACTCTGCGCTGGTTAGGCCTCAACTGGAGTATTGTGTCCAGTTCTGGGCACCGCATTACAAGAAAGATGTGGAGAAATTGGAGAGGGTCCAGAGAAGAGCAACAAGAATGATTAAAGGTCTTGAGAACATGACCTATGAAGGAAGGCTGAAAGAATTGAGTTTGTTTAGTTTGGAAAAGAGAAGACTGAGAGGGGACATGATAGCAGTTTTCAGGTATCTAAAACGGTGTCATAAGGAGGAGGGAGAAAACTTGTTCACCTTAGCCTCTAAGGATAGAACAAGAAGCAATGGGCTTAAACTGCAGCAAGGGAGGTTTAGGTTGGACGTTAGGAAAAAGTTCCTAACTGTCAGGGTGGTTAAACACTGGAATAAACTGCCTAGGGAGGTTGTGGAATCTCCATCTCTGAAGATATTTAAGAGTAGGTTAGATAAATGTCTATCAGGGATGGTCTAGACAGTATTTGGTCCTGCCATTAGGGCAGGGGACTGGACTCGATGACCTCTCGAGGTCCCTTCCAGTCCTAGAATCTATGAATGTATGACCCAAATTTGCATTTTGGAGCAGAAAAGAAAAAAAGTTTTTACCTGGAATTTTTTCCTACTTCCATGTGAGGAGCAATTTGACTGAGTTAAGTTGGAGTGACTGAATAAGCAGTATATTTGTACTGTGTATCATTGTAATGTGCTTTGTGCTACAGTATCGCTACAAAGGAAATAAGACCAAAATTCAGTGGGGATAAGTTTGCTTAATTTACTGTCATCTAAAAAAGAAATTCTGAGTAATGCACTGCAGTGCACATTCTGAATCTTAAAATACAGGAAACATTTCCAAATAATTATTCTCTCCCACCATTGCAATACTTTTTTTTGACTCTCAAGCTACTTCAATAAACCTGAATGAGTAGCAGACATGGTCATTCATAACAACTTTATACTTCATGTTACACTGAAGGATAGTAAACAAGATGGCATAAAATTGTGTCGTATTGAGAGAGAGAGAGAGTTATTTGTACTATTTACATACCCCTGAAGCATTTCTTGCTTAAGATACCTTATAGATGAATGACTGAAGTGGCCGATATTTTCAACAGGTTTTATATGAATAGTATACTTGATATTCTTCATGGAAGAGAAGCTGAAGTCTTTACTCAGGGCCATCCCATGTCTGGTCTTCATACAGGTGTCCAGTGGGAGAGGGTTCAAAGAGCCTTCTGGCCAGACACAGTTGCGGTCTTGGCTGTTGTGGAAGTCCAGGAATGGTTTCCTCTTTATTCCTAAAGAGGAAGAAGTAATTTATATTTCGAAGTACCAGTGGAGGAGGACTGGTGCACTGGAGGGAGTATGCTGCACCTCATGAAGGAACGCAGCGGTGGGTACCCTGCCCTTGTGCCTCAAAAGGCTCTAGGAGGCATTCTTCAGAATGCTTCCCTGTGCTCCTGTTGGGGCTCCACAAGGCCCCCATAGTGTGGCTGTGCCTTAAAGTTACAAATGTCTCTTTCTTTTTACTCTGCCTTTACTTATGCAAGCTCCCAATGAATTCAAGGGCAGTTTGAGTAAGAGCTGTGTAAGGACCTCACGATTCAAGATAAAGGCTACAAAGAAGTGGTGATGACTTGCTAACTCCTACTTTTATTAAATACTATCCAGTAAAGATACAATTACATGCAAATTATATGTTTGTTTACATTTATTTTTGCTACAAGTTATGCACTTTATGCAGATGATCATGCACATTAGGAACAGACTTCAGGCTTCTGGAAAATTGCCAGTGCAGCCTTCAGTGTCATAAGGTTTAGGCCTCACCATAGCACTGTGCATATGTTAGAATACTTCTTTCCAGCGTTGTCTTCTTATGTTAGAAAATGGGAGTTCTGGAGTATGTTTAACAGGTATTTGCCCTCTCCGCACTGCAGCTTTGCTTCATGGAGCAAAGCAGCACAAAGCCGTGCACAAAGTATCAGGATGGGAAGGACAGTTCCACGGGATGCCGTCTTCTCATTCCCTCCCTCTCAAAATGTAGCTTCCAGTTGCCCGCTAGTGGGCCTGTGGCTAAAAGGGATGTGCATTACCTGAAGGGTCAGGCAGGCAGAAACAGGTGCATGCAACACATGTACATGTGAATAAGAGACTCCACTACCTTAACAATAGCATGCAGCTCATTCATCAATCCTCTGTTGTTATTGCTGTGTTACTGTGATCCTGAAGACCCTGATTCTGCCACCCATACTCCCTCTGAGTAGTATCTTGTTGCAAAGATAGTTGTAATCAATGGGACTATATACAGCATAAGGTACTACCTAAGTTGAGTAACGGTGGTGGAACAGAGTTCTGATTAATTAAACTCTTGTTTTGAAAGCACAGTTCTGAAGGAGCAGTCATGATGTTTAACTTTAGGGAATCACATCTTTTTAGTCAATTGGACAGAGGTAATTTGAATGGCTGATCTATATCCTGTGCTTAGTTTTAAGTATTTTGTGAGGAGCTGAATTATGAAAGATCTTCTCTTGAGAGTTATTGGTAAAAGTGTATTGCAATAAAGCAATGCATTTGTTGGTTGGAGACAGATGCATGCATATATCCAACATGCCAGGAAAGGTATCCCATTGCGCCTAGGTGCTGGGAGGACAATAGAGCTTGGGCTGTAGTGTACTGAAGGCTGTATCCTGGCTCTCAGTGTAGGAGAACAGGGTGGTTCTGCTCTCTTATGGTCCTTCCCTGGTCCACAAGAAACAGGGTTTCTGCCTGCTCAGATACCTTCCATGTGGACTGATTACACACTGCTGGAAGTAATATATTAAAACAAGTATACCTATGTACTAGATTAAAAAGCTGTGCACAGAATACATGTTAAATACGGTTTTCCTTGAACCAAGTACAGCTATCACTGCACAACTTTTGTAGGTGGGTGATTTTCTGTGTGTTTGGAAGGGCTTTAGAGTTATAGGAAAGCAAATAGACTCTGTCGTCATTATATTTCAGTGATTTAAATTCAGTATCTCTAATTTGGTGTGCAGTTGAAGTGTTAGCATTTATGAGATTATAACGAGGCTTTGAAGTTACAATATACCCTGTTAAGGTGAATGAAAATTTACACTTCTGTTGGTTCAATTGTTCCAGTCAAGATGCACTCAATAAGAGAGCAGAACATTGATTTGCATGGGAGCCAATGTGAAGAACTACTGTAATAATATTCTCCATTCATTAACTGCAAGAGCAAGGTCCTAGAGAATACTGCAATATTTGTGGACTCTTCCTGATTCCACATAATCTGGTTTGACTCAGTCCATGCAATGAGTTCATTAGATTTATTTTTAAGAGAATAGTTTTACACTTACTTCATCAGATTAAAATGATGAGACAGAAGATTTTCTGACTGAAGAGTAGTGGTGTCAACTTGCAGCAAAGCATTATGCAAGTATTAAAAATATGTTGTCTTTATTGTATACAGCTTCCAAGCCTGTGGATCGGAAACTGTGCACAGGACCTGTACCTAGCACCACCCAATTGTGCCATATCCCTTGTCCAATAGAATGTGAAGTGTCAGCTTGGTCAGCTTGGGGACCATGCACCTATGAAAGCTGTGAAGACCAGCAAGCCAAAAAGGGTATGTACGCATTTTAAATTCCTCCTTTTCAAAAAACATTTTTATTTTACTTAGGTTTTACACAATACTTGAAAAAAATATTTGCAAGACTCTAGGGATCTTTGACAATACTGACATCTTCATACTTATATCAGCAAGAGAGCCCGCAACAGCCTCCAAAAGTCAGGAAATAACCAGCCAAAATACCCACCCATAAGTACCACCTCTCAGTGTTCTTCTTCGTTCCCAAAAGCCTTGGGAAAGAGATGGGCTTTCTAGTGAGTTCTGTAGGTCAACAGATCTGGGCTATTTTAGGACAATTACAAAGTTGAGTGCCTCCTTTTAAATTGAGGGGGATCCAGCATGAATCTCTCTCCAGATCACAGCTGTGGCTGTGTCACATAAAGAGAGAACAGCGGTCTCTGAAGTAGGAACTTCTCAAGCCATTCAGGGATTTACAAGTCAAGATCACCTTAAAAATTGACCAGTAGACCATTAGGCAACCACTGCAATCTTAGAGCAGGAGCTTCATTTGCAGAGTACCCTTCAGACCCTGCTTAACTGGCAGACTGATGCATTCTGTGCCAGTTTCAGTTTCCAAGGGTATTTAAAGGGTAGCTCCATGCAGTGCATACTGCAGTAATCAGATCTCCAGGTGTCAAAGGCATGAATCACAATTCGCCGCTGAATCAGCGTGATCAGTGGACCATCCGCAAGCGCGCCGCCGAAAGCCGCCTGACTTCCATGCTTGGGGCAGCAAAAAACATAGAGCCATCCCTGCCTGCACAGATGCTCTTGCTGGGAAGATCAGACCATATGGTGATCTGATTTCCCACAACTTCTCCATTGGAGATTGGAGTTGGTTGAGTTTATTGGTAGAGATTACTGTTGTGTAGAAAAAACATGAAATGACTGTCTCTGTTGTAGTGAGGGGATGGTGGTTTGTGCTTTTTGGAAAATATCAGCCCAAAATCAGCTTCTCTGGTATTCTGGAATTCTGCTTCCTGTTTTTGTCTTATGTGATGTGATTTAACTTTTCTGCTGCAATTTAGGGATGGATAGAGAAAGGCAATTTGTCCTTTTAGTCTGCTTGTTTTATTTTCAAAATCTTTGCCGTACATTTTATAGCTGGGAGGGATAGCTCAGTGGTTTGAGCATCGGCCTGCTAAACCCAGGGTTCTGAGTTCAATCCTTGAGGGGGCCATTTAGGAAACTGGGGTAAAAATCTGTCTGGGGATTGGGCCTGCTTTGAGCAGGGGATTGGACTAGATGACCTCTTGAGGTCCCTTCCAACCTTGATATTCTATGATTTTCAAATGTGGATGTGGATTGCAGTATTTCTGCCCAGTTTGTCCTGGTGTGGATAATGCTGAAGTGGGGGAAAACTGATAAAAATCTGATCTTTGATGTCTCTATGGTAGGGTAAGGTTTAAAGTCAAATCTGAAAAAAAAAATGTTCTACATGAGTCATTTTATGCTTCTCCCATCTAGCTATAGTCTCATGAGATAAACTGCCCATTTCTAGACCTGTAATTTGCTACCCCATGCAATTTGTTTGTGTCTTGAATTGATCTGTAATAGCTGAATAGGTCAGCCATAGACTCAGAGAAGTGTTACAGTTCCTTCTATAGTAAACAGCTATACACATGGAGGTATCTCTCATATGTTCATATTTGCCCATCTTGTTTTCCTATATGATAGTTTATTTTGTATATTAGTTCAAGCATAAGCAGCAATGTGCTGTTTAGTGTTTTCATTTCCTATATCAATATTTATAATCAACTTTGTCTTACTCTTTTTTCCTCTAGTTAACCCCTGTGTGACTCCAACTTTCCTGCTGTTAGTGTCAGAAGCAGAGCTGCACTTAAAGGTCATGATAAGGGAACTCAAGCATTGCAAATTTAAAATAACCTGGATCTTCCACTTAATTACACCCATTTCTAGTACTATTCAGTGGTCAGATGCAGGACTGTATGCAAATTCACCCATGAATGTGACAGGGATTTCTTCTTTCCTTCCCTCTGACATACATTCACTAGGTAGCAGGAATGGATATCTCGCTGGAATAAGCAAAGGCACCTTGACAGTGAGATGAGAGGAATCCAGGCATTACATTGTGAACATGTAAATCCTAGGTTCCCCTTCACCAGTTCTCTTGTACTTATTGCTTTCCATAGGTGCTTCTTTAGGAAACACTTAGATGCATAGTATCAGGGGGTAGCCGTGTTAGTCTGTATCCACAAAAACAACAAGGAGTCCGGTGGCACCTTAAAGACTAACAGATTTATTTGGGCATAAGCTTTTGTGGGTAAAAAAACCTCACTTGCATCTGAAGAAGTGGGTTTTTACCCACAAAAGCTTATGCCCAAATAAATCTGTTAGTCCTTAAGGTGCCACCAGACTCCTTGTTGTTTTTACTTAGATGCGTATGCTGCTTGGATTGAAATATTTGTGCATTATAGTGTTATGAATTCATGAGTAGAAAGCAAACAATGCTTTTTTCTCACCCCTTTGTCACTGTGTCACTCCTATTCCCATATTTCCCCCTCTTTTTTCCTCTTCACCCCTCATTCCCTCTCTTATCTATTCATATCTCCCCCTCTTTCTATTTTACAGTTTGCATACCCTTTTTTCTTCTCCTGTGTCTATTCATATATGTACCTGTGTCTATTCATATATGTACCTTTCCCCTTCTCTTCCTATCTCTGCTTCTTGCTTTTCCCTCCCATATTGTCTCATCTTCCCTTCCTGTTTCATCTCATCTCTATCCTTCCCCCTCTCTGCTTCATTTTCTTCCTACCCCACTGTTCCTTCTTTGCTTTTTCCTCCTCTCTCAGCTCTCTGTCAGAGATTCTTCCTCCTCAGGCATCTCTTGCTATGTTGAAGACATCCTGCTAACTCAAAGCCGATTCAGTCCTTCAGAGAGGCCACATCTCCTTATCAGTGTGGTGCACTGTCAGAAGTAGGAACAGGCTCCTCAATACATATTTCGGTCATGGGCTTTCAGTAGTTAGAGAATCACCGGTTGTATTGTCAGTTGCCTCCAGTGGCTGCATTTGTAGAAAACTCCTCTGAACTTTTTTGTCAAACCAGAGGGCCTCTGTTGCAGAATCTCTAAGCCTCTTTTGAACACAAATCATGCACAACTGCAGAAGCAATCTTAGAAAATATAAAGATGAACTGAAATACATAGTTTTTAAATTAATTAATAAACAATCATGATAAATTTAAAAAAAACCTCTTTGTTGAACCCAAATTATCTGTGTGGAATTAACATTTACAAATAAACATATTTTAAAACAGTCTCCTTCTTGATTTACATGTTGTGGTGTTATCCTGCCTGAAGGCGGACACTTAAATCAAAGTAGGCTGTAATGGAGAAACCAACAAGAAAAGAAACTATGATATAGTATACCAAGAATCCTTAATAAATTAATGGGAAAACCATTAATTGGGAGAATGGCTGGGTGCTGCCAGTCTGGGAGTGGGTCTGGGGGGACAAAAACCCAGGATAAAGGGGAATAGTAGAAGCTTAATGAAGTTGGCCTAAAGAAGAACTGGGGCAGCGGGTTGTCAGCAGACTGAGACTGACACCCAGACTGACTGAGACACATGGAGACAGAGAGACCGTGCTATGAGGAGCACACTCTTGCTCTCAACTGGAGATGGGGGTTAGTTGGGCTGAGGGGAACTTACAAATGCTTGCAAGGAAAGATGTAAGGTGTAGGTAAAGGGAAATGTGCATATAGGACTGTTGGTTGTTGTAACCTTTTGTTATGCATGGTTGGTACCTTCGTGTGATACAATAAATGCTTTGTTTTGAAGAAGCTGTTTTGAGTCACTAATCAACCACTCAAGTATCAGGGGGTAGCCATGTTTACATCCACAAAAACAACAAGGAGTCCGGTGGCACCTTAAAGACTAACAGATTTATTTGGGCATAAGCTTTCGTGGGTAAAAATCTACTTCTTCGGATGCATGGAGTTTTTTACCCATGAAAGCTTATGCCCAAATAAATCTGTTAGTCTTTAAGGTGCCACCGGACTCCTTGTTGTTTTTCTAATCAACCACTGTTGCGGGCTCCTGGAGGCTTGCAGGTGCCAAACTCATTTGAGCCTGCTAAATTAATACAGGCTGGGGGGAAGGTGGTGGGGGAGGGGGTTAGCCAAGAGACCCAACCTAAGAAAGAGTGGTTGGACCACATGGTTCCAGTCAGAGTGAGGTGCTGGAAGCCAGACCTGATACCTAAGGGATGCACTCCAAAGGGACAAAAAGGGGTCAAAAGCACAGCTAGTCCCGTAACCATGACACATTCCAAGCCCTCATTTCAGTGAACTGTTTCCTACAGTTGGTGACATCTACTATCTCAGCAATATCAAGAACGCAGCTGCCTATATTGCTTTAAATATGTTGTTGACTGTTATAGAAGAAACACAGAACCCTTCACTCAGCTTTTGGCAGATACAAATGCTTTCATTTTACCTTTTATATTTAATTACTATATTTTTTATCTTTTTGGTTTTACTCTCACTTCAGGTTTTAAGTTAAGGAAGCGGTCCATCACAAATGAACCTACAGGAGGCACTGGAGGGACAGGAAATTGCCCTCATTTGCTTGAAGCTATCCCGTGTGAGGAGCCCTCTTGCTATGACTGGCGAATAGTGAGACTAGAAGAGTGCATACCAGACAATGAGAAGCAGTGTGGGCCTGGCACTCAAGTTCCACAGGTGGTCTGTATCAACAGTGATGGTAAGATGTTTGCTCAACAAATGTATGGTTTAAGTCACTCACTTGTTCTGAGGAGACAGATTCAGAGTGAAAATGTAACATTGCTTATTTCTCTCAGGTTAGTCGATCTTTGAGACAAAGCCTTTTGATTAGAATTGATTGCTCTTTACACAGGCCACATATGTTGTGACCACCAACTGATGTAGCACTGGGCTCTTCTTTCCATAGATTTTTTTCAGATGAAGCTTCTTGAGTGGCCTCCTGAGAAAAGGAAGCTGAAAATAAACAGTAATGAAAAATGAATAGGAAGACAAGGAGTTATTGCCTGTTGGGTCAAATTCTTCCCATTGTAACTTCATTGAATTCCCTTATGTAATTCCACTGATAAATTTGTCCCACTGAGTCCAAATGCAAATAAATATTAAGGGTGAGCAAAGTAAGTGCATTGCCACTGGAAATATCTGGGAGCTAGATAATCTCTTTATATTAAAAAACAAAGTATGATGTGTGCTATGAAGTTGGTTTGACAGCCTGTGACATGCATCAGCCTGCCTCACTTCGCTTGCCCTTCTAGCTATAATAAATTACAACAGGCAAGAAGAATACCACTATTATTCAATTATCTTTTATGAAAGAACAAAAAAAATTACTTTGCATAGCATTAAGTCTTAACAACTCACTTTGAAAGCTACACACTTAAAAAATATTTTAATCTACAAAAGGCTCTTGTATGAATGTTGGGATAGTGTTCGTTATCTGTTAGTAATGTTGTAGTCTACTCAGAGCTGCATATATATTAAAAATAATTGTACTGGCTACAGTAGAGCAGAGATCTGTAAGTACCATATATAGGATTAACCAAGAGGTCACCTGTTAAGTGTTTAGCAGCTGCACCAAATGTTTTGTAATTATACTGGGCATAGGGAATTAGAGTTGATTACTTGTACAGACGCTGTATCTAGGTTTGAGTGTTGGTCCTAGATTTTGTTTCATAATTGAGTTTGGGGCTCAACTGGGAAAACTAAGAATTAAAGTGTAACTTTTATTTTTGTGTACATAGCAAAGAGAATTGTGTGTTTAGTCCCTAACAGTTTTTATGTCCCAGAATGAGATTAATGATGTAGAATGACACAAAACCATGATTTACATCAGGGGTCGGCAACGTCGGCACGCGGCGCGCCAGGGTAAGCACCCTGGCGAGCCGGGCCAGTTTTATTTACCTGCTGACGCAGCAGGTTCGGCTGATCGCGGCCCCCACTGGCCGCGGTTCGCCGTCCCGGGCAAGCGATGTGCTGGCCGCGGCTTCTCGCCGCCCCCATTGGCCCAGGACGGTGAACCGCGGCCAGTGGGGGCCACGATCGGCCGAACCTGCCGCGTCAGCAGGTAAATAAAACTGGCCCGGCCCGCCAGGGTGCTTACCCTGGCGCGCCGCGTGCCGACGTTGCCGACCCCTGATTTACATTTTATCCTCCTTGCACAGCAACATTCCTTCATCCAAGATTTTCCCTGTCTGCCTTTACTTGACAATAATAGTAGAACTGTTTCAGATTTTTTCTATGAACAGATTTCTGGTGAAATTTTGTCAGAAATTAACATTTTTGCTTATCAATTCTGATGTTGATGTTTTCTATTTTAAAAAAAAAATTCAGTAGAAAATGCAAAAAAAAAAAAAAATGTAGCCTGGTTTTCATTTTACTGGATTTTAGGTTGGTTGGTTTGTTTTTCTTTTCTTTGTGGGGAGAGGGTAGAGTTTGTTTGCTACTCTGTAACTTTTGATCAGTTTAGTATGTGATTAAACAGTGTAACTTTTCCTGTCCCCTAACTGGATTATTGTAACTATAATATATCTGGGAGCAAGTAGGTGAGTCACTTAACCTTAACCTTTTACAGAGAGGACAGTTCTGCTCTGTTTGACCCTATTCCAAGGGCCACTGAAGTCAATGGATGTCCTCCTACTGGCTTGAATGAGCTTTGGATCAGGTCCTTTGTGAGGGACTTAGAACAGAATTTAAGTTGGGAGGGTTGGGGTTATTTGTTTTCAGATATTAACCCTGTTATTTTTCTCTGAACCTTTCTAAATTGTTGCTGATCATCTTAGTTTGTTGCTAAATAGTGTACACCTATAGTTTGCTGATGTGAGTGCATTTGTCTTATTACCAGTGAGTAGTCTGACTTCTGTGTTGGTCTTTGTGGTAGAGGCTGGACAGTGGGCACAGATACTGCTTCTGGGTGAGGGGAGTGGTGATTACTCATTGCTGTAGTTGTGTGTGTCCCAAAGAGAGAGAGATAAATTGTATATTTCATGAGATGAAGAGGAAGCACTGGGAGAAGAAGCTTTTTGGGTGCTTCTTGGCTGTCACAGGATAATGTCTGCCAGCTGTGCGATACAGCTTTGTGAAAGCATGTTATCACTAAATGATAATGTAATTTGCCATGGATCAGGCCCAGCAAATGTGTATATGTTTTGAGGCCTAATGCAGGCTTTACAATAAGTGCAACAAAATGCATGCTAGTGTACATTTCAACCACATTCAGGTTTGCCAGAGTACAGACGGTATGTGTCCAGCTGAGAATGCTTCTACAGATGAGCAGCGGTGACTGCGTCTTCCTGTAGATGTGCGTGTTCAACAGAAACAGTCAGACGCACAAAGTCAAACACATTCCATGTCAGAAGAGGAGAAGGAATTTGTATGAGGGATACTTGACTGTAGCAGGTCAATACTGGCCAGCTGCTGGAAATGGTCTAAGATGGCATGATGTCACTAAATAAATGTAAATGTAGTGTTATAACAACAGCCTATAGTCATTCAAACACTTTTTTCAATTTTTTTTAAAACCTATAAATAAGACACAGTACAGAAGAGAGATTCTTAAATCATCTAGTTACTTCATTTTACTACATTATTCATGACCTCCACCTCCCAGAGGTTTCCTCCTCAAAAGAGGAAGAAAAGGAGATGGTGCAGGAGCAGATCTCCTTCTCCCTACTGTCCTCATGATCAATAAGGCCTGTCTCCTGTGTGAGGCTCAGTGACAGTGCTGATGCTGTAGAAGAGAATCCAGAGGAGAAAGGGTAGCCCTACATCTTGCTATCCATTGGAAGGATGCCTGCTCCCTGGTAACCAGATTCTTCTCCTACTTGGCCACCACTCTGTTTTTCTCTGTCGCTGCCTTCTCCCTCTCCTTCAGGGCTGCCTTCAGCTGCTCAGTGGCCATCCTCTCCTCCTGAAAGGCCTCCTCACCTTCTCTGAGGTGAGCTCCTCCATGGTGCAGCCTACAGGTGTGCTTGAGGAACCAGGAGGTGGATGCAGTAGCTCCTGCTCCTCTTGTTTATCAGGAGGGACCTGAGCCAGAGCTGGGAAACTTTAAACTTGGCACTGTTACTGAGGATGATTCCACAGGAGCCATGTCCCTGCATCACCACCTGCAGAGGTGGCAGGTAACAATATGTGGCTTCCCTGGAACTTTGCATACTGTTTACAAGTTAATTCCTCCAGCTCTGCTCCTCCTGCACTTCTGTTATTGCTGCTCCTTCTCCTTTGGCACTGGCAGCTCTCTCTGGTTCTCCTGCTCCACGTACCCCCTTTCTTCTATAGATCCAAGGAGTGCTTACATGTCCAATCCCCTTCTCCACTAGTAATATTTGTTTTTAACAAATGTTTCTACCCTTTTTCCTTCTTCCTCTTTCTGTCTCTCACCCTGTCTAACCAGTCCACCAAGCAGACAAAATGATGAGAATCCTTATATTCTTAACATTTTGTTTCTGAAAATGAAAACTTTGAAGTAAAATCAAAGTCAAAAAAATAAAAAATCAAAAAAAAAAAAAAAAGGATTAAAATAGTCCACTTAAAATTTGGAAAATATTAGAAATATGACTTGTTGTCCATCTGAAATGGGCCCCAGAAAGCTCATGGATATTTCCAGCAGCTCTAATTAACACCCACAGTGGCATTCAAGTTTACACACATTTTACACTGTATGCAGTATTTAGCACCAGAAAAGATGTCAATCAGGAGTCACAACCAGGGCCGGCTCCAGGCACCAGCTTACCAAGCAGGTGCTTGGGGCGGCCACTTTGGAGAGGGGCGGCACGTCCAGCTATTTGGCGGCAATTCAGCAGACGGTCCCTCACTCCTCCTCGGAGCGAAGGACCTCCCGCCGAATTGCCACCGCAGATCGTGATCGCGGCTTTTTTTGTTTGTTTGTTTGGCTGCTTGGGGTGGCCAAAACCCTGGAGCCGGCCCTGGTCACAACCTAGAGCAAAACCTCAGGTTTCCACAGTGAGAATTTTTCTCCTCAAGTGCTGCTGCTGGTAAGAAAGCATAGGGCCAGCCAGGAAATTGCAGCTGTGCCACCAATAGTGTAGGGATCCAAGCCATCGTTTGCACTGCATGTCTTTAAGACCAGCCCTGATGGAAAGCTTACCATAAGAACAGCCATACTGGGTCAGAGTAATGGTCCATCTAGCCCAGTACCCTGTCTTCCGACAGGGACTAATGCCAGGTGCTTCAGAGGGAATTAACAGAACAGGTAATCATCAAGTAGTCCATCCCTATTGCCCATTCCCAGCTTTTGGCAAACAGAGGCTAGGGACACCATCCCTGCCCATCCTGGCTAATAGCCATTGATGGACCTATCTTGTATGAATTTATCTAGTTCTTTTTTGAACCCTGTTAGTGTCTTGGCTTTCACAACATCCTCTGGCAAGGAGTTCCACAGGTTGACTGTGCATTATGTGAAGAAGTACTTTTGTTTGTTTTAAACCTGCTGCCTATTAATTTCATTTGGTAACCTCTAGTTCATGTGTTATGAGAAGGAGTAAATAAAACTTCCTTATTTACTTTCTCCACATCAGACATGATTTTGTAGACCTCTATCATATCCCCCCTTAGTCATCTCTTTTCCAAACTGAAAAGTCCAAGTCTTATTAATCCCTCCTCATACAGAAGCTGTTCCATACACCTAACCATTTTGTTCCCAATTTTTGTACCTTTTCCAATTGTACCTTTTCCAATTACAAT